TACCGCGAACTGGCCCAGCGCCTGGCGGGCCTGTTCCGCCCGCATGAAGTGGTCACCGTCTCGCTGGGGACGCTGACATTCAGTAAGTCGGCGCTCAGGACCATCCGGCGCAAGGCCCTGTATACCCAGATTCTGCGTTTTCCGATGGAAGAGATTGCGGGTAAGTTTTCCTACCCCTTTGAGATCAAGCATGAGATGTTCTGCCATGTCTATCAGGCTTTGCAGCCGTGGCACGGCACTGTGTTTTTTTATCTGTGCATGGAAGATCCGGCCTTGTGGCCAAAGGTATTCGGAACGGACTACCAGAGTAATCAGGACTTTGAACAGGATATGCTGCAAAGTTATGCCCGGAAGCTGGGCCTCTCCTGAATTTCTGACTGCATTTCCGGGCCTGCCGGGTCCGGGCCGGCACGCTGCGTTGCGGGGAACAGCTGTGGCAGCATAAGGCCGATATCCAGTTGATTGCTGATATATCATTTATGAGATTGAGACGCTTGAGAGTCTCCTGCCTGCCCACTTCATTGCCATTGTCGAGCGGAAACTGGTCTGAGTAACGGCTACTTTCCAGACAGGAAAGCGGAGTGAAACAGAGTGATCGCATTCGGCATTAGTATTGAAAGGATATTCTTTTTCCGGTATTATGATCGGATATTTACTCTGATACTACAGGTAGTTATACTTGGGCTCCACTCCGGCATCGGAGCCAGACGTGAGAAAGAGGTGCTTTATGAACAGATGTTATGCGGTACTTTCAAAATCGTTCGCGGCAAAGCTGTGGGTCGCCCTGCTGGCAGGGGTGTTGTTCTTCAGCTGTGAAGAATCTTCCGGAGGGGATGAGGAAACTCCGGTATCTTTTTTGCGTATTCAGGAGCTGCACAGTGACGGGAAATATGCGTTTGAGCTCCAGCATTTCGTACGTTCGGGCAGTTCCGTGTTTGAAGAAGGGAAAGTGGTCAATGCGGCTTTGCAGGGTTTGTGGGATTCTGCGGGAATACGCTGGGGCTTTCGGAAAAAAGACGAGCCGGAGCAGGTGTACTGGGTGCAGAAAAACAGAACTTTCTTTGATGAGGAAAGCCGTGTCTATATGATGGAAGTTGACGATCTGGCTAAAGCCAGGTTCGAGCCTGAGACCCTGCCTCCGGCACTGTTGCAGGAAAGTGAAGCAAATCTGGAAGTCTATGCCGAGCTGGTGCTCGCAGATGTGGTTGTGAATGGTGCACTGGAGCTTCCTGCGGATTTTAAGCGCCGGATTCTGCGCTTGACCCGGATATCGGGAACGGTCTGGGATAACGATGCGATTCCAGTGGTGGGGGGCTCAGCAGGGAGTGGGGAACCTGAGGAAGTGCTCGGGGCCAGCGTCTACTATATCCCCAAAGTGACCCGGGAAATTTTTCACACCTTTTCCGTGCGCGCTGGTGAGTATCGGATTTCGGTGCCCGATTACGATGAATTCTACCGGGTGGTACTGGCCGAAGGTTATGAACCGCTCGTGCAGGAGTTCAGCCTGGAATTTCAGGAGGAGGCGGCTTCTCTGAGCGGCGAGGACCTGTATCTGGACAGGCTGGCTCCCGGCGATACGCTCCGGCCCGGTGTGCTTTACGATATCACTCTGGGCCGCAGCGGCCTGGTGGAGGCCGTTACCAGTGGCGATACGATCGAAGGCAGAACTCTGGATGCAAGCGGTCCTGAAGCTCTCGGGGGAGCCTTTCTGTTGTTCTACGACCTGCCGGGCTCCAGATTGTATTTTGTGCAGACAGGTCCGGACGGCTCCTGGCAGATCGCTCTGCCAGTTCCGGTAAATGTGGCAACCGATCCTGCTGAGAGCGGAGACGGTAGCAGCGGCAGCACTGCCTCCGCGAGTTCTGCCGGTGGCAATAACGGAGAATCGTCGGCCGGAATCAGTCTGGCTCCCTCGCACTATGGCTACGTTCCGCAGGAACCGTTCAACCCGTTCGGAATACTGGGTCGGAGTTATGGTAATATCCCGGCCGTCGTACTCAAGGATATTCTGTTTGAACGTGATCCGGTGGTTCAGCTGGAGGATCTGGACAATGACGGCCTGAGTGCCGATCGCGACCCGGATGACAACAATCCGGATCTGGACGGTGACGGGATCCCCGACGGCGCGGATGTGGATGTGATGGGTGGCCCTGACAGCGATGGCGACGGGATTGCCGATGCTGCGGACGCGGATAGCGACGGGGATGGCGTAACGGATCCGGGGAAAACGGACAACGATGGGGACGGGATCATCGATCGCTACGACCCGGTAGATGAGGATGGAGATGCGGATGCGGATGATGGGCCGCAGCTCTCGTGGGATGAGGTGCTCACGAGCAGCGAAACCGACAGCAATGGCGGCAAATACAGCTTTGATGGCACTGATCTCAGCGTCCGGCTCAAGGTGCTCGCCGATGCCGTCGCGGATCAGAATTTCCGCTATGCCTGGTACCTGAACGATGATCTGGACAGCAGCAGGAGCGGGGACGATGAGAGCTTTACGCTCACCCGTTCCGGGAGGAATACCATCCGGGTGGTGGTGAGCAACTCCAGCGGGAATGCCCAGTTGTCCAGGACCTGGGATCTGAACAGTGTCCCCACCAGTGTTGTGATTGCTGCGCCGGCAGCCGGGCAGTCGATCGACATCAGCAGTGGCAGCACCTTCGACCTGGAGGCCAGTGCCGAGGATGCGGATGCGGGTCAGGCGCTGAGCTACAGCTGGTACATCGCTGCGGGTTCTGCCATACCTGTGGACGGGGATTTTACGAGCCTGGGCATCAGCAGCACGGGTGCGCCGGGGCTCTGAGCAGCCGGGGCTATACGTTTACCTAGGCAGCGGGTGACTACACACTGAAACTCATTGTCAGCGATGGGGAAGGGGGCAGCGCGGAGGCTGTGGTTTCGGTGAGTCTGGCTGGCGATGCTTCGGGTGTTGATTCTGAGAGCCGCCCGCTGATCCACGAATATCGTAAGCACCCGTTCCTCGCAGACACAGCCGCTGAACGGGGACGGGAGTGCGGGCAGCAGTATTGATGTGCTCATTACCAACCAGGTCAGTGCCCGGCCGCAGGACAATCCGGTAGGAATTGCGGCGCTGAACTGGCTGGTGGACGATGCGCTGCAGAGTGGGACTGCCGCGTACGTCCCGGGTAGCAGTGTATACAGTGAAACCTTTACGCTCAGAGGGCCTGGTCTGCACACCGTGAGGATGCAGGCGCTCAACATGCGCGGTGAGCGCTCGGAATGGATGGAGCGCTACTATCTGAATGAAGCCCCGGTACTGGATGAGGCTCAGACACCCGCAGCGCCGGCTGCGTTTGACATCCAGACTCCACAGAATATTACGGCCCGGGCCAGCGACCCCAACGGGGGAGAGCTGATCTATCTGGCCGCCATTGCTGCGGGGCACGACGTTGCGGCGGACAGCAGTCAATTTCGCGTACTGGGGGGCAGTGAGACATCCGGGACTTCGGGTGTGCTGCAGAGTCTGCCGCTGGCGCTGGACATCGGTCTGGGTGCGGGGGACTACACCCTGCGCATTACAGTGGCAGACGAACATGGCGGAGCGCAGGATGTGTTGACGCGCAATATTGCGTTGACGGGCAGCACGACCCAGGTTGCGCCCGGCGCGCCCGCTGTGTACTGGGCAGCCGGGACTACGGGCTGGAGCAGCGGGGACGAGAGCGATGCCGCAGCAACGGCGGGGTCCGCAGCGACGGTGCTGCCCTATAATCCTGCCGGGACTGTGGTGAGTGTATCCGTGAGCGTTCAGGATCGGCGCTCAGTGCCTGCTGCCAGCGGCTTTACCTATGAGTGGTCGTTGAACGGTGTGGTATATGAGACGACCGGGGGGGATACCTCGGCGCAGAGCAGCCGGAGTCTGGACGATGGTCTGCGGGCGGGTGCGAATACCATTTCTCTGGTGGTAACCAATGATGACGGGGAATCCAGTGCCCGGGCGCAGCGGCGCTTTTACCTGAACACCCAGCCGGAGTCGTTGCGCATTACTGCGCCCACGGGCGCTCAGACGATACAGCTTTCGGAGGGCAGCCGGGAGCTCAACTTTGCGGCATCGGGCAGCGATAGTGCGGACGACAGCCTGACGTATACCTGGCAGCTGTACCGCAAAGAGAGTGACGGGAGCTGGAGCCTTGTGGAGACGATGGGCACGACGACGGGCAATGGTGCAGTACTGAGCTATACGTTTACGCAGGCAGCCGGAGACTACCAGGTACGGGTTACGGCGCAGGACGGATATGGTGCGGCGGCAACGCTGGAAAGTCCGGGCAGCAATGCTGTGGCTGTGCTGCTCAACGGTGCTCCGGTCGTCCGCTTTGTCCAGCCGACGGCGGGGAGCAGTGGCTCGGCGGTAGTGGGTCAGGATGTGGACTTTGAGCTGGAGGTAACGGATCCGAATCTGGATAGTGTGGATCCGGCCAGTGACTTCCGCTACCAGTGGGAGTACCAGCGGCCCGACCAGTCCAGTTCATCCAACTGGAACGCGCTGCCGGCGGGCAGTACGGTGGACAATACGGCTCCCTACCGGATGAAGTTGAAGACGGGAGGCTTTGCCTCAACGGCCACAGACCCGTACCGGATACGGGTGAGGGTCAGCGATGCGGCTGGCGGGGTCAGCACTGCGACCTACGCGCTGAGTATGGCTGCCAACCGTCTGCCGAGTCTGGGTTTCACGGGAGCCACTCCGGCAGATAATGCGCGGTATCAGCTGCGAACAGCAGCCGAGCGCAGTCCGGCACTGAATTTTTATACCGAGGCCACGGATCCGGACGGGGACGCGCTGAGCTATGGCTGGGAAATTAACGGCTTGAGCGTGGCCGGAGAGACGGGAGCCTCGCTGCTCGCACAGACCTTTGCGTCGCCGGTCAGCGGGAAGAGCGCGACGGAGATAGCCGGGATGAGCGCGTCAGAGCGGCACCAGGTATTAGTAACGGCGCTGGTGAACGATGGCATCAACGGGAATGTAGCGCTTTCGCGGACGCTGCGCCTGAATGTGGCCCCGCAGCTGGGCAGTGTGAGTGCAGCGGCTGCGGAGCTGGCGCTGGGCAGCAGCCTGAGGTACAGCGTGGTGGCCGAGGACCCGGAAGGGGACAGCCTGAGCTACCAGTGGCGGTACCGGCAGGGCACGAGTGGAGACTGGTTCTACTTTGGCACGGACAGCAGCGAAGCGTACTTCACAGCGCAGAGCAGCTGGTCTGCGGGAGAATATCAGATTTCGGTACTGGTGAGTGACGGTGAAGGAGGCTCGGCAGAGTCGAGTCCGCAGAGCCTGAGGGTTTATGAAGTTCTCCCGGTACCGGTGATGAACGCGGCCAGCGCTGTAAGCACTACCGGCTTTACGGTGAACTGGAATGCGGTGGCGGGTGCGGATGGCTATAAACTTTCGGGGTCAGATGGGACGTCGGTTGACCTGAGCAGCACGTCGTATACCCTTAGCGGCCTGAGCCCCGGGACATCCTCTTTCTTCTATGTCCGGGCCATGGACAGCACCGGTGTAAAACGCGACAGCTCCTGGAGCAACGGCCGGGAGTTCGGGACGACACTGGCTGCGCCCTCTCTGAATTCGGCGGCCAGCGATGTAAGCACTACCGGCTTTACAGTGAGCTGGAGTGCAGTGACGGGAGCGGATGGCTATTATATCTCTTGGGGTATGGGAGCGGATGTGACGTTCGGTTTCAGCCGTGTGAGCGGCACATCGCATACCATCAGTGGTCTGGATCCCGGTGGCACCTATGCCGTCAGGCTCCAGGCCACGGACAGTACCGATGTGCACCCGGACAGTGTCTGGGTCAGCCGGGAGTTTAAGACTGCGCTGGCTGCGCCCTCCCTGAATTCGGCGGCCAGCGATGTAAGCGCCAGCGGCTTGACGGTGAGCTGGAATGCGGTGACGGGTGCGACTAACTATTGGATTAAGTGGGGTCCTGACAGCAATACGGATGCGGGCCAGGGTTATTACACGTCCACTTCAATTTCCCTCAGCTCTTTGTCGGCAGGGACGCTCTATTACGTAAAAGTCAAAGCTCTGGCTGATGGCAGGGAGAGCGATTGGAGCAGTACGGAAACCTTTAGTACGGATACCCTTCCTGCTTTAGCTGCTCCCAGTCTGAAATCTCAGGTCAACAATAGTATCAGTGGCTTTACGATAGAATGGGATGCCGTTGAGGGGGCGGACAGCTATGAGATTTCGTGGGGTACTGGCAGCAATGCCCAGGGCAGCACCGCTCAGGTCACGGGCACAACATCATACACCACCAGTGGTCTGAGCTCGGGTACGATTTATTACGTCAAGGTGAGGGCAAAGGACAGTACAGGGAACAGGCCACAGAGCAACTGGTCAGCGGTGGAGATGTTCGGTACGCTCACTGTCAATACCGGGTGGTTTTTCTGATGACTTACCGGAAGCATGGGCCCCGTTTTTGCGGGGCGTTGGGGCTTTCTTATAAGAAGGAAACAGGTCTTGCGCCTTGTTCAGAAGCTTCCAGTACTATGAGGCAGAGCTGTTGAGTAAATCGGAGCCGCACGCGTCAGCTGGAAGTCTTACGAAACAGCAGCAATAAACAGAAAGTTGAGAGCAGGAGGCGCGGCAGGGTTTTCGCCTGGCCCCACCTCCTGCTCTCAACTCATATCAACCGCGCTTTCCGGCCATCCTGTGCGAGCAGTCCTGGCTCATAGAGTCCTGACTCCTGGAGTCCTGGCTCATAGAGTCCTGACTCCTGGAGTCCTGACTCCTGGAGTCCTGGCCATCCGCGAGCTCTGCTCCGCCCTTCCGCTGGGCAAAAACTGGCAGCGATTCTGTTGCCAGGCGGTTCTATCCCGTTACAATCATCAAAGTCCCCCCTCTGAAAGCACCGGAGCGCGCACTGGCTCTTCCTGAGGCTCTGTTTGATTGCCGGAATCCTATCGAATAATGCATTCCGGGTAGATACGAGCGGGGGCGTACGTATCATTCATCGCGTCACATGGAGGGGAACATGGCGATACATCGGAAGTCGAAGAAATCTGGACAGGCCAGCCCGGAATCGAAAACAGGCAAAGCCCGTAAAAGCGCAGCGCAGCAGGCCCAGGCAAGCCATGCCGGCAGAGGAGCAGCGCAGCCGGATATCTCCGCAGCCGCCAGTTCTGCTGAAGATACGCAGCACAGCGCCCGGAAATTGCAGGAAAATCTCCGCAGGCAGCGCCAGCATAGTAAACTGGTACAGCAGAGCCAGAAGCGCGACCGGGCCTTTGAGCTCAGCTACAGAAAGATCCTGCAGGCCGCCGATGAGGGCAGGAAGTGGGCCATCATTGAGCTGGCGGCCTATGCCGAGTATCAGCGCGACTATCAACGCGCCATTGACCAGTATGAACGGATTGCGGTGCAGGGTGACCTGTATTACATGCGCCGCATTGCCGTGCTGTACGAACAGAGTCTGGAAGATATTGAGAGCGCCATCGACTGGTATACCGAGGCGGGCCACTACGGTGACGAATATTCGATGATCCGGGCCGGCAATCTGCTGGAAATGCACTTTGAAGATTACGATGAGGCGGCAGGCTGGTACCGTAAGGCAGCCCAGCTGGAGAGCCTGAGTGCGATCTACCATCTGTGCCGTATTTACCAGCACAATCTGCACAATATTGATACCGCTATTGAATGGTACCAGCGCGCGGTGCAGCTGGGAGACCTGAAGGCTGCCATCGCCCTGGGACAACTGTATGAGAATACCTTCAAAGACTATGCCAGAGCGGTGGAATGGTACTCAGTAGCAGCCAGTCATAAAAGTCTGTACGCCGTTAATCTGCTGTGCCAGCTCTACGAAACCAGATTGCGTGATTACCCGCGCGCCATTGAGTGGTACAAACGGGCCATCGCCCTCTACAACGAACAGAATGGTTCCAGTGTAATGGCTGCGGACCATCAGGCACAACAGAGCATCAACACGGTACAGCTGCCGCCTGCCGGGCCCGAGGGCGCAGCGGGTGCTGTGCCACCTGACCAGGGCCCTCAGCTCAACGAGTCTACAGCTTACAGCCGGCCGGCAGCCGCTGTGGCTGCCGGCCCCGCGCCGGATGCCGGAGATTTCGGCCTGCTGCCCCGTCCTGAAGATCTGACTCCGGCCGAGATTGCTTCCGCAGGCCTGCACGATGAGGCGGAAGTCGAATTTCTGGGCTGAGCTGCGCCTGGCATGGCCAGAACGAGTCAGCAATCCTGATACCCCGCAGCCCGGGCAAGGTCGCGCTCCAGCACTACCGTCGCGTCCGGGTGCAGTTTCAGCAGCGTTACCGGGCATTGAGTGCTGATTCTGTTGTTAGTCAGCAACTGGGTTATGGCCTGTACTTTGGCCGGGCCAGAGGCAATCAGCACGATGCTGCGGGCCTTGAGAATATCGCCCACTCCCTGAGTGAACGCCTGGCGCGGAACCTGCTCCCGCGAGCGGAAATAGCGTGAATTGGCCTCAATGGTACTTTCTGCCAGGTTCTCAATATGAGCATCGGCAATCAGATAGTCGCCAGCCTCGTTAAAACCGATATGGCCGCTGGTTCCTGTACCCAGCAGTTGCAGATCCACGCGCCCGCTGCCGCAGGAGCGCTGCGGGGCCTCCCGCTCCGGGCCGTAGAGCTGTTTGCGGAAGCGGGCGAGCTCCTGCCTGGCGGGCGCGTGGCCATCCGGTACATAGGTGTTGTCCTGGTCAATATTGATGTGCGCAAAGAGCTGCCGGTTCATGTAAGAGCGGTAACTCTGGGGATGCTCCGCTCCCAGGCCCACATATTCGTCCAGGTTGACACTGGAGCCCGGGCAAAATCGACCTGGCCCTTACGAAAGGCCGCCACCAGACAGGCATAGACACCCTCCACACTGCCGCCGGTGGCCAGGCCCAGGCGGGCCGCAGGCTTGCGTTGCAGCAAAGTGATAAAGCGCTCTGCCACCCGCATACTGGATTCCTGAAAATTTTCGGTGATCATAATCTGCATAGCGATTCCTTCCCTGGTGCTTTATGGTTGCGCCGATGATAAGCGGAGCAGCCGGAATCAGCGTTCAGATCCTGCCCATGCTCAGGAAGTGCACTCTGTTCAGGAAGGCTGGTCTCTGGCGGGGGGCTGCGGGCACAGTTGTGCTGGGCTAAGAGTCATCAGGGCCGTCAGAGCAGGAAACCGGGGCAGGCCATGGAAATGGAAGCGGCCCGTGCGGAACGTGAGCAGGCAGAATGATAAGAGCGCAGGCTGCTGTAATTCCGGCACCTGAGAGCAGAAGCAGATGATTCGGGCTGTTGCCCCGGATTCAGCGGCTCATTTTATTGATGGCTTCCCACAGACCCAGCAGATAGCTGGCACCCAGGGCGCGATCGTAAAGGCCATATCCGGCCCGACCCTGTTCTCCCCAGATCATGCGTCCGTGGTCGGGCCGGATATGGCCGGTATAGCCGATCTCGTGGTAGGCTTTCATGATTGCAAACAGATCCAGCGAACCACAGGAACTCAGATGGGCGGACTCATAAAAAACGCCGTTGCCCTCGTGCTTCAGGTTGCGCACGTGGCCGAAGTGGATGCGGCTGCCGAAGTGCCGGATAAATCCGGGGATGGAATGCTGTTGATTGGCTCCCAGTGAACCGGCACACAAGGTTAAACCGTTGCGCGGTGACTCGTAGAGCCCGAGAAAGCGCTCCAGGTTTTCGGCCCCGGTAATAATGCGCGGCAGAGCAAAAATCGGCCAGGGGGGGTCATCAGGGTGGATGGCCATATTGATGCCCACCTCTTCACAGACCGGAATCACGGCGCTCAGAAAATACGCCAGATTCTGCCACAGCCCCTCCGTCCCCAGCCCGGCGTAGCGCTCAAAGCACACGCGCAGTTCCCTCAGGCGTTCGGCCTCCCAGCCCGGCAGCTCCACGCCTCCGGACTCGCTCCGGACTCTGGCAAACAGCTCATCGGGGCTCATGCGGCTCAGTGCTGCGCCGTCGAAGAACATGGTGCTGGAATCGTCGGCCAGGCGGTGGTGCAGGCTGGTGCGGGTCCAGTCAAACACCGGCATAAAGTTGTAGCAGACTGTCTCGACTCCGGCAGCGGCCAGGCGGCGCAGGGTGAGCTGATAATTCTCAATGTACTCATCACGGCGGGCAGCAGACCCTGCCTTGATATCCTCGTGAATATTGAGACTCTCAATCACCTCCAGCTTCAGCCCGGCATCTGTAATCTGCCGCTTCAGCGCCGCGATGTCGGCCTGTGGCCAGGCTTCCCCGACAGGAATGTGGAACAGTGAGGCCACCACCGATTCCACGCCCGGGATCTGGCGAATACGGGAAAGAGTTACCGGGTCTTCCGGCCCGAACCAGCGAAAACTCATGCGCATCATCTAATTCCTTAGCAGGTGGCTCAGAGCTGGTAACAAGCCTTGAGCGTGTATTTTCTGGTACTGTTCCTGAACCTTTTCGATCAGGGGCGGCTCTTCGCTCAAATCGCCAAAAGTCGGCACAAAGGAAAACAGTGCCCGTGCTTCTGCTCCCGCCGGGGCCTGTTCAAGCAGCTGGCGCAGGGTGGCGGCATTCGGGTCCTGGACTGCAATGGCCCGGCCGTTCAGGTCGGTAGCGCGCAGGTATTGCAGCCAGGCGGCCAGCCCAAAGGATAAAAAACGCCAGTTTCCCGGCTGCCGGGCTTCTGGTGCAGCAGTGCGGTACGCATCCAGCCAGCGCTGAGGTATTTTGAGCGAACCGTCCATGGCAATCTGATGGCAGCGATGCAGGATATGGGGGTTGCTGTAGCGTTCCATCAGTTGTTCGGCGTAGGCCCGGACATCCACCCCTGGGGGGGGATGCAGGGTCGGGCCTTGCTCTTCGGTGATAAAGCGCTGGCAGGCCGTGCGCAGCACCTCATCCTGCATGCATTCAAAAATAGAGGTTTTACCCGCCAGGTAGCCGCAATACGCCAGAAAGCTGTGTGAGCCGTTGAGCATGCGCAGCTTCAGCTCTTCGTAGAGCATCACTTCGGCTGCGCTGGCTGCGATGCTCACGCCGCTGAGCTGCTCCCAGGCCGGTCGGCCCGCTGGAAAATCCTGCCCAGCATCCTGAATGACCCACTGGCTGAACTCTTCGGTGGCCAGGGCAATCGGGTCGGAGTGGCCGGCCAGCTCTGCAATCTGCGTCAGAGTCTGCGCGCTGACTGCCGGCGTGATGCGATCGACCATGTGCAGGGGAAACCTGCACTGCTCTTCGACCCAGTTTCTCAGAGAAGCAGGCCAGGGCGGGCTGGAAAGCTCCAGCAGCTCCAGAAAACGGAGCAGAGCGGCCCTCAGTACCAGGCCGTTCGAGGGGATATTATCACAGGAAAGCAGGGCCGGAGCACCGGCCTGTTCGCGCTGGCGGCGGCCATGGCCAGCGCAGAAAACCCAGTACCGTGCGGGGCAGTAGAGCGCTCCGGGAAGATTCCAGGGAGCGGCAGGATATTGCAGCCTCAGATCGTGCTGGATATCGGGATGCCCTTCATCCAGAGAGCGGTCTGCACCATGGATACAGTAGCCCTTTTCGGTAATGGTCAGACTGATAATATCGGCACTGGCCAGCTGGGTCAGCACTGCGGCCAGGCCATCGCGCACGGCATCCAGACAGCGCACAATCGAGCCGACTTCACAGACTCTGCTGTGCTCTTTGCCCTGGATAGCCAGCAGATACCGGTAATTCTGTGCTTCCAGAGCCTCCAGGACCTGTGTGTGGCCGCGCAGCGACAGGGCACAGATTCCCCAGCCGGAGTCGGGGTCCTGTTGCAGCAGTTCGTGGCAGGCCCAGGCCAGCTGGGCGCGGTGAAAGGCTCCCGGACCGATATGGGCAATGCGGGGTGTGAGCTGTTGTGCCGGGTAGCTGGCGGGGATGTATGGCATAGTGGAGGTCCTGTTCCCTCTGGAACGTACTGCGGTGAGTGGCTGTCCGGAGGCCCGATGAGCAGGGCCTCCCGAAATAACGCCTGAGCGTTGTTCGTGAATGCGGCCAGGCACCCTATCATACTGCAAAAATGGCCGGTACTCCACTTCCTGCGCCACGCTCGCACAGTCTGATGCCCGGACAGGGGCCCGGGCATCAGACTGTGCGAGCGTGGCCGGTGCCGGCCGCTTTCTGCCGCAGCCCGGAATAGATATGGCTGGATCATCGCAGATGAGCCCATCCACATTCAGTTCCCGGCAGCGGGCCAGCTCCCGGCAGCGACGGACCGTCCACGGATACACCCGGTATTCTGGCTCTGTGCCCATCGAACTTCTTCTGCACGGAGCAGAGAGACATTCGGATGGAAACTGAAAACAGGAAAGGGCAGACTCTGCACAAAGCTGCGCAGATTGGTATGAGTAGAGGCACTCAGCAGACCGATATGGATATCCGGAGCCAGTTGATGCACTTCTGCCAGCAGATTATAGCTGAATGAAGATATGATGACATTTTTTCTGTGCTCAGGTGCTGCATCGCTTAAGATTTCAATCGTTTTTTTTACGGTGCCACGATGTTCTGAATACAGCTCTTTGATTTCTATATTGATCAGTTTCCCCTCGGGTACCAGTGGGAAAACTTCTGCTAATCCCGGTATCCTGCACTGCGCAAAACGTGGATCAAACCATGAGCCGACATCCAGCTGATGCAGCTTATCGCTATCCTGCTCCCGGAGTACACCTTGAGCATCACTGCAACGCTCCAGCTCCCAGT